GAAGTTGTCTAAGATTTCATTTTTCTCAGAACCAATATCAACAACCATGGAGGCAGCAGTCAAGAAATCAATTGATATATTGCATTAGACAAATCTTCTGCACAATACTTCTTCAAAGTGTTGAAGAGCAAAGATATCAGTTTGAAGAATAAAGTGTACCTGACCCAAACTATGGTGTTTTCAATAAAAGTTGGAAAATTAATAAAGAATACCATAGATGAATTGGTGTATTTCAGTTACGGTACTGGAGGAGAATATTGAAAGTACCATGGACTGCCAAAAGAACAAATCTGTGTTGGAAGAAGTACAGTTAGAATGTTCTCTGGAAGCCAGGATAGCTAGACTTTGTTTGCATACGTTGGACATATTATCAGGAGGGACTAGTCCCTGGAGAAGGATATCCTGCTTGGTAAAGTGGAGGGTTAACGTAAAAGAGGAATACTCCCAATGAGATAGCACAGTGGCAGCAGCAATGGGCTCAAGCATAGCAATGATAGTAAGGTTGGCACAGGACCGGACAGTGTTTCATTCTGTTGTGCATAAGGTCGCTATGAGTCTATGCTGATTCAACACAACCTAACAACAATAATAGCCATTAGATGCTTAAATTTAACTAAATATTGTTAAGTTTATTATTTACCATTGCTTCTCTTATTTATATTTCAAATTCATGTTTTGTTTGGTTAAAAGCCTTTCTTAAATACTTCTCGTAAGTATGGTACATGACGAATACCAGTAGAACACTGTCAAATAGCACTAGGATACTGAATATTGAAACATGATGAATAGCACCAGAATATTGTCAGGTACAGTGCTGGAAGATGAGCCCATCAGGTTGGAAGGCACTCAAAATACGACTGGTGAAGAGCTGCCTTCTCAAGGTATAGTTAATTATGATGACACAAATACAGTGAAACTTTCAGGACCTTCTTTTGCTCATGGAACAAAACTCAAAATGAGGAGAAACAGCTGTAAACATCTGTTTATAATTGGAAAATGGAATATAAAATGTATGAATCTAGGAAAACTTAAAGTTATAAAAAATGAAATAGAATGCATAAAGATTGATATCCTAGGTATTAGTGAGCTGAAATGGACTGGCTTTGGCCATTTTACATCTGAGAATCATATGGTTTACTATGCCAGAAATGACCAGTTGAAGAAGAATGGCATCACATTCATCATTGAAAGAACATTTCAAGATCTATTTAGAACTATAATAATGTCTGTGATGTTGGTACCGAATGTTGGTGTTGTTGTTGTTTGGTGGCGTTCAGTCAGTTCTGACTGAAAGCAACCATATGCATAACAGAACGAAACACTGCACAGTGCTTTGCTATCTCACAATTATTGTTACATTTGAGCCCATTGCTGCATACTGTCTATCCTTTTCACTGGGGCACTTCCTCTTTTACACTGACCTTCCTCTTTACCAAGCATCATGTCTTTCTCCAGGGACTGGTTCCTCCTGATAATATGTTCAAAGTATGAGAGATGAAGTCTCGCCGTCCTGGCTTCAGAGTAGCATTCTGGCTGTACTTCTTCCTACAGATTTGTTTGTTCTATTGCAGTCCATGGTACTTTCAATATTCTTTTCCAACACCATAACTCAATTGCATCAATTCTTCTATGGCCTTCCTTATTCATTGTCCAACTTTTGCATGCATATGATGTTATCGAAAATTCTATGGTGTGAGTCAGCAGCACATTAGTGTTCAAACGGGTATCTTTGCTCTTAAACACATTAAAGTGGTCTTGTACAGCAGATATGCATAGTACAATAGTTATTTAATTTCTTGACTGTTGTTTCCATGAATACTGATTGTGGATGCAAGCCAAATGAAGTCTTGGCCAGCATAAATCTTTTCTCAGCTTATCATGATGGTATTTATTTGTCCAGTTGTGGCAATTTTTGTTTTCTTTGCATTGAGGTGCAATCCATACTGAAGGCTGATCATCATCAGTAAGTATTTTAAGTCCTCTTTGCGTTCAGCAAATAAGTTTTTATCATCTGTATGTTGCAGGTGTGTGCTCATGAGGCTAAATAAATCTTCCTCCAATTCAAATGCCATATTCTTCTGCACATAATCTATCTTCTTGGATTATTTGCTCAATTGACAGATTGAATAAGTATGGTAAAAGAGTAGAGCCCTCATGCAAACCTTTTCTGAATTTAAATCTTTCAGTGTCCTCTTGATCTATGTACAGCTTCCTCCTGAGTACCATAAAGTGTTCTGGAATAGTCATTGTTTGCAATGTTATCTTTAGTTTGTAATGATCCACACAGTCCAAAGCATCTGCATAGTCAATAAAGCAGAGGTAAACACTTTTTGATATTCTATGCTATTAGCAAAGATCTATCTGACATCAGCAATGATTTTTCTCATTCCAAGTCCTCTTCTGAATCCTGCTAAAGTTTCTGGCATTTCCTTGTTGATGTACTGTTGCAGGCATTTAAAAATTTATCTTCAGCAAAATTTTACTTGCATGTGATATTAGTGATCATTTGATAATTACTTCATTTGGTTGAGTCACCTCTTTCACTAGGCACAAATATGGATCTCTTCCAATCAGTTGGCCAACTAACTGTCTTACAAATATCCTGGCATAGATGAGTGAGTGCCTCCAGTGCTGCATTAGTTTGTTCCAAGATTTCAACTCCTAATCCATTAATTCTTAGATCCTTGTTCTTTGTCAATACTTAAGTGTAGCTTCGAAGTTTTCCTTCAGTACCATGTGTTCTTCATCATATGCTACCTCCAGATATGGTTGAATATTGTTTATTTCTTTTTGATACAATAACACTTTCTATTAATTTTATCTTCTTTTGATGCTTTCTGCATCATTCAATATTTTGTCCATAGAATCCATCAATATTGCAAATCAAAGCTTGAATTTTATCTTCAGTTCTTTCAAGTTGAGAAATGCTGAATGTTTTCTTCCCTTTTGGTTTTGTAACTTCAGGTCTTTGCACATTTCATTACAATACTTGATATTGTCTGTTCAGCTCTTTTACCTCCTCGTTTCTGATATTTGCTTTAGCATCTCTACATTGGAAAATAAGTTTCTGAGTCTCTTCTGAAATTCATTTTGCTCTTTTACTTCTTTCCAGTTTTTAAAATTATCTGTTGCTTTCTTACTGTATATCATTCCACAATTCTTCTAGTCTTTGGTTATTACTGTCTAGTGCATCAATTCTGTTCTTGAGATGGTCTCTGAGTTCAAGTGGGATATGTTTAAGGTCATATTGTGGCTCTTGTGGATTTGTTTTAATTTTTTTCAGCTTTAGCCTGAACTTGCATATGAGCAACTGATGGTCTGTTCCACAGTCTGCCTCTGGCCTTGTTTTGACTGATGATATGGAGGTTTCCCACAATCTTTTCCCACAGATGTAGTCAATTTGTTTCCTGTGTATTCCATCTGGTGAGTTAAATTGATGCTGTTTAAAAAAGGTATTTGCAATGAATTCATCATTGGTCTTGCAAAACTCTATCATGCAATCTCCAGCATCATTTCTATCATCAATGCCATATTTTCCAACTATGATCCTTCCTCTTTATTTCCAATCTTTGCATTCCAATCAACAGTAATTATCAATACTGGTTTGCATGTTTCATCAGTTTCAGACTGAAGGAGTTGGCAGAATCCTTCAACTTCATCATCACTGACTTTAGTGGTTGGTGCGTACATTTGAGAAATAGTGTTAATTAGTTTCCCCTGTATGCGTATGGATATTATCCTTTCACAATAGTGTTATATTTCAAAATAGATGTTGGAATACTATTTTTGATGAATGCTATGCCTTTCCTCTTGCATTTTTAAGTCCTTTCATAGTAAACCATATGATTTTCAGATTCAAAATGGACAATGGCCATCCATTTCAGCTCAATAATGCTCAGGATATGTCTTTACATGTCCCCCATCCCCCCTCCCTTTTTTTTTTTTTTTTTGATAATTTCTAACTTTCCTAGATGTATACTCCATACATTTCAAATGGGTATTTGCAGCTTTTTCTCCTCATTTTGAGTTGTGTCCCTCAACAAAAGAAGGTCCTGAAAGCTTTACTCCATTCGTGTCATCAAGGTCAACTTTACTTTGAGGAGGAAACTCTTCCCTAATCATATTTTTTAGTGCCTTCTAACCTGAGGGATTCATCTTCCAGCTCTACAGCTGAAAATATTCAGTTGCTAGTCATAATGTTTTCAGTTTTGTAACTATATTTGACAATGGTTTTCTGTTATTAATAAAATTTTCGGTGGATAAACCTTCAGAAGTAGACTACCTTTCCTTCTTATTAGTCTGCCTTAGTCTGGAAGATCCACTGAAACCTGTCCACTATGGGTAACCCTGTTGGGGTTCAAACACCAAACACCAAAGGTATAGCTTCCAGCATCACAATAACACAGAAGCCACTGCAATACAACAATCTGACAGATGAGTATTGCATAGTAACTGATGTTTTGTTGTTAAGTGCCTTGGAGTCAGTTCCAACTCTTAGCAACCCTAAATAGGATTTCCAAGGAGCAGTTCTGGTAGGTTTGAACTGCTGACCTTATGGTTAGCAGTCTAGTGCTTATCATACAGTGCCACACCAGTAGTCCAAGTACTTGTTAAGTAGACCCTTGCATATTTGCTGTTTAAAAATTGAATGAATAAGATAATGAATGAAGAAATAGTTTATACTTTCAGGAGAAAAAAATATATAGCTTCTCAGACTTATTGAAAACATTTGAAATTCATTACAAGTTAAAAAAATGAATCGCTGGGCATGTAAGCCATAGAATTAGACACTGAGGGTTTGAAAATTAGCTCTACTATTTTAGTTGTAGGATAGTCACATCACTTTTGTAAGTTTCAATTTCTTCACTGGTAAAATAGGGGTAATCATAGCATTTACCTTATAGTTAGTGCTGCGAATTCAACATGAAAACATAAACACTTACTTCTGTAATTGGCACCTAGTAAACTCTCAACAATAACAACTCTGATTATTTATTTACCTGAGGATCAGAAAGAAAATAAGGACGCCTATTCTTCAACTGAAGTGCAAAATACTCCTCTTGATTGTCAGGGGTTGCTGCCAAAACAATCAAACCTTCAGGCACCCTTGTTCGGAAGCTGGCCTTAATACCTGGTGAGACAAATGTGATCAGCAAATCAGTGCTGGTGCTTTGTTGATTCTTCCTGATAAATGTACATTTACTTTCATTATTATTTATGATGTACTGAGTACTGTCAGAGAATTACACATAGCAATGTACCGGAATGATCTCAGCCTTTTGGCTTTAAATGTACCCTATTATGAATGCCAACCTGTACTTAGGAAATCAAACTTAAGCTCTTGAGAAGTTTAAATTTTTGAAAAATCCTTGAACATAAAAAGTCTTGTTGTCAACCCAAAATTGAGTATCAATATGAAAATATTATCAGAGTCGTATGGCCCAGGATCGTGTTTTATTCTGCTACGCATAGGGTTTTGTCCTGTTGTGCATAGGGTCACTAAGAGCTGGTACTGACTTGGTGGCACCTAACAACAACAACAATTTTATTTTTTTACATGAGTGAAAAAAATTACAGGGGACAATGCTTTGTAATAGATGCTGAAAATTGGAAACATCCACCATGAATTAGCTCATAGAAATAATTTCCTAGACTGCCACCTTATAACTGACTGGCTTACAACCTTCAGAAACTCAGACTCCATGGACTCTTTCAACAATTTGCCACCATGGTCCAAGATACACAATGCTTTTGTCTCATGAAACTCTTCCAAGCTCAGAAAGCAGGGAGAACTTGTGCAAGTCCTTTATAAGTTTTATCAAACCACCACATGGATCCACCTCTATTCTACCTGGAATCCCACTTACTCATCACATATTGTGAAGTTCTTAATTTGTGCAAGGCATTTTACTTAGTGGATTAAAAAGGACAAAAAGTATAAGCAACATAATCTCTGTTTTGTATATGCCTGAAAACACAAGTCATACTGTGAGAATTATACAACAGCTAAAGAACATACATAATGATGAAATGATGGCTTAAAACACATGTTATATAATTAGAAAATAAGGCTTTGAGTAATGTAGTCAATAAGAATTATGAAAATTTGAGAAAGAAAATCTCTTGAAACTGGGTTGGTGACTAAAGGTTTTATGTTGCTATTGCCAGCTGTTATCCTGTTGGCCCTTGACTTATGGGACCCCATGCACAATGGTCCCATTGTGATCATGAGGTTTTCATTGACTGATTTCAAAAGAGCTCATTAGACCTTTCTTCTTAGAAGTGCATTGGCCGGGAATAAAACCCAGGTTTCCTATAAGGAAGGCGAGAATTCTAACACTGAACTACCTTGCCCATAAGGTTCTATATGTTGCTAAGTTGGTTCCAACTCATAGCGACCTTCTACATAACAGAACAAAATACTGCTCTGTCCTGCACCATCCTCACAATTGTTGTTATGCTTAAACCCAACAATGTTCTATATAGGTGGAAGGATGAAAGCTGGATTCAATAGACGGTAGCCACTTTAAAGTAAAAAAAAAAAAAAAGTTTAATTCATCTTTCCATTTATAGTATTTAACACAGTGTCTAGGTATACTTAGTAAATATTTAGAGAGTCTGGATGAAGAAAAAGAAAATTATAGGTGCATTACAGGTAAGGGATAAATTTTAGCAAAGATTTGGAGATTAGAAAACAGAAGGTATTTTGTGAGCATCAGATCATCATTGTTCAATGTTCATTTATGGAATATTAACAATGGTTGACTATTCTGCAGAACATTTCAGAGCAGAAACTAACAAACCATCCTTACATGAAGTTTTAGTTGAGTAAAAAGACAATTAAAAAATAAACTGCAATTTAGTGCAATAAGTGATAAAGAGATACACAGATGTACAAGATATAGTTGATCCAAATAAGATTAAAGAGGGCTTCACAGAGAAAATGATACACAAGCGTGTTTTCAGAGCATATGAGATCTTTGGGACATTTTTTACAAAGGTCTGCAAGTATGGAAATTACTGAGAAAAACTTCATTGGAAGGAGGGAGAAACAGGTAAGACTATATGTCAGCTTGTTTGACAAAGTGGGGGGAAATTGGCTTGAGAAGTTTGTACAGACAGCTAAGGTTAAAAAATCGTTTGTGTTAGAAGCATTTTTAGTTTCTTTAATACCAGCAAAGTTTAGCCTAGGTATGGAGCTTCAAACTCTCCCAAGGTACATCTCAATCTTGTCCTGGTCTTCATAGATTCTGCACCTTCATCTTCTATGTGTTACGCTTTTGGACCCTTTTTAGACACACTTTTTCTACTCATTTTGAAATCTCAATGCTTTACATTCTTACTGCTGTCCACTTGGACAAACTTCTTGCTGTTAGACTTAGTGTCTGCTCCATTCTGCCACCTTTCTTACTCCACAGAATAGAACTGTTAGCCTCAATAACACATTCTTCAGTATTCAAACTCATCTGAACCTCTGATACTAATTTTATAGTTTCATATTTCCTAATAAATGAACAGAAAAGGTTTTGCAACTAATTAAAATTTGTCATGTAACTAAAAGAAAGTCATTAAACTTTGAGTGGCTGAGGTAAGTAGGATGCTAAAAGCCAGGTTTTGGGAAACAAAATGGATAGAATTTATAGAGAAAACAACCATGGAAAGTTAGTTGTAAATACTGTTTTTCAGCTATAGATCTTAAGTAATTATTTAAATGCATTCAAATCACAAATGAATGCATTTAAATGTAAACATATCAATCTTTTTATGAATTATAAAGCATTTTTAAAAATGTTAATGTATTTCCATAAGGCCTAGTGGTAAAATGCAATATTGTTCAGAATTATTCATACTTCCTTTTCCTCTGTGAAGGTTATATATTTATATATCTGTAAACATTGAATTTAGTCTCAGTCATGAGACTTGGCAAAATGGAAGCAGACATAAGGTACCATATACAGGTACATGTTTTAAATGCAGTTATGTGATTAAACTTGACCCCTGCTCTCTCCTTTGCCTCAGTGATGTACCTTCATCATGAGTTGTAGAAAAAAAAAAAAAAAGACTATGAAGCAAAGCCAAGCAATACCAAAATATTTTTACCTTAAATATTGGTGCTAAGCTACAATGCTGACTAAAATGAATAGAAAAGTGAGAAGGGAAAATATTTAATTTTGCTAAAAAATAAAAAAACAGCTAGAGAAAATATTCTAAAGCTTGGCTTTCTTGTTTCAAGTGTTTGGGGGAAATCATAGAAAAATAGCTTTTACCTCAGTATGTATTTATTCATTTAACAAATGTTTAAGAAGGGCATGCTGTATGCAGCCATTAGATTACACTTTTGCTATACATAGGAGTACCCTGGTATGGTGCTTTAGGATAAGCACTTGATTACAAGGTCCTTTTGAACCCCAAGGTCAGAGGTTCAAACTTACCAGCTGCTCTTCAGAAACCCTATACAAGGTCACTATAAGTTGGAACAAACTCGATGGCACTTCACAATAACAACATAAAATAGTTAACCATCTATCCTATAATTTTGAAAATCAGAAATCAAAGAGATGAATGAAAATATTTAGCTTTCATGTAGGTATGTCTTAGAAATTTAAGATGGTTTTATCACTAAAAATAGCACAGTTGCAGGATCTTGAAATAGACCAAAAGTTATTAAACTTCAGGTAAATCTATAGGGCAAAGTAACATTCACTCAAAAAGAAACGTTATTTAATGGTTAGTAGAGGTGCAAGGGAAAGAGGGTAAATTACTAACTAGGTGCTAGACACATGTTAACTTGAGTGAAGAAAGCAAACAAACAAACAAAAAAAATCAATAAATAACCAACCAAACAAGGAGGAAAATGTTGATAAGTTAGACTATAACAAAATTAAGAACTTTTGTGTAACAAAGGCACCCATAAAAACAGTGAAAAGACAACCAACAGAATAGGAGAATCTATTTTCAATGTGTGTTTCAGAAGATGGATACATATACAAAAATATAAAGAAAGAGTTCTGGTATGATGCTGTATAATAAAGCACTGGACCACAAGGTTGGTTTGAACCACAAGAAAAATGGGCAAAGGGTATTTAAAAACAACAGTTTCTACACAAACAATTACTAAATATATGAAAAAATGTTTAGCTTCAATATTCATGAGAGAAGGCAAAATAAAATGCAATGTTACTAAACATCAACCAAAAAAACTAAAATGAAGCATAAAATAGTAGAAAATACACTGAAAGGGTAAAGGAGTAGAAATGAATCTATGGAAGCCAGAATTAGCAATCTTGAAGATAAATCCTTCAATACTAGAAAGATAGAAGAACAGTCAGAAAAAAGAATTAAAAAATCTGAAGAAAGCCTAAGATTCATGTGGGACAACATGAAGAGGAATAACTTAGGGTTATTTGAATTCTAGAACATAAAGAGACAGGAAACCAAAGAAAAGATAATCAAATAGATACTGGAAGAAAATTTCCCTAACATCATGAAGGAGGAGATGAGCTTTCAAGAAGCAGAATGAACCTCAGGCATCATAGACCCAAAAATAAAATCACCAGGACATATCATAATCAAACTCTGGAAAAATCAAAGATAAGGAAAGAATTCTAAAAGAAGCTAGGGGAAAATGAATTGTTACTTATAAAGGATATCCAAAAAGATTAAGCTCTGATTTCTCAACAGACACCACAGAAGCAGGTAAGAATGCAATTGGGAGACATATACAAAACTCTGAAAGAAAAACAAATACAAAACTGCCATCCAAGAATCACATAGCCAACAAAGCTGTCTATCAAATATGATGACAAAACAGAACATTTCAGGATAAACAACAATGAAAGGACTTTATAAAAGCAAAGCCAAATCTCTAAAATCTATTAAAAGGAATTCTTTGTTGGAGAACCAACAAGAGGAGACAACAACCAGAGACTGCCTTCCCGGGCACCCCCGGCCGGATTTCGTTCCAAGATGGAAGAGTCCAGAGCAGAACAAAACTGCAAGACTAAAAATAGAGTTCCTGGGATGTCAGTCTATGATTAGGACAACTACAAAGTGAGGCAGGGAAAAGTAGTTATAGATCTCCAGGTGGTAAAACAGGATAAAACAGACCATTTTAAAATGAGGAAGCAATTA